TCTTCTCTTTGAAATATTAGTGTCTTTAATTGTGTTTCTTAAACTTTTCAAATCCACGTTCCTTTGAACTCCCTGTAATGTTAAACAAAATATATAACAACTAAATTAACAAATGACAAAAAAAGTTAAAAATCAAGACAACTGGAGAGAGCACCACAGGTGCCCTGCAGGTACTTACTAGGTGTGCACCGCCACCTGGGCACACTGGGTCTGATTCCTTCCACACATCAACCCGTGAAGACCTGTCCCCTCCTCCTCTTCCCTTCACAGAGACTTGTAAACCTACAGCTCCTGTCCCCATGACCGGTCCCCAATGGTGCCCCTGTTTAAGTGCTCCTTCCCTCTTTAAACTGTCTTTTCGCTAGAATACAACAAGCCTTCACATCTGGCTGCGTCTTCCATCCAACAGTCCACCCCTCCTCTACTCCCTCTGGTTCAATATTTACAGAGCAAAGCGGGCAGACTGGCCACAGGGAGTGTCTGAAAGCTAAGGTAACAGTTGTTGTTTCCTCTGACCCTGGTGAGCAGCTAGAGGAAAGCCAGAAATGACTTGAGAGCAAACCCAAAGCAGCCGAGAACAAACGAAAAAGCAACTGTATCACCACATGCAAAGGGTGTGCCTCCCTGCAGCTGAGGTTCATCAAGGGAAGTGAGTCTGAGAGGATTAAATGTTCAGGCAGGTGGAGATGGTTGGGAGGAAATTGAACTGAGAGAGGAGAAATTCAGATTTGCTAAAACAGGCGCGAAGGGCCATTCTAGATTCTTGAATAGGAAAGATGGAAAAAATGCTAGAAGCTGAAAACAATTTAGAATTCACAGACCCCTCTGACTTTTACTTATACTCTCAAAGTGTCAGTCCCTCGTTAAGTCAGTCGTGTCCAACTCCCTGTGACCCCATGGACTGTAGGCCCCGAGGCCCCTCTGTTCATGAGATTTCCAGGTAAGAATACTGGAGTGGGTTGGCATTCCCTTCTCCAGGGGATCTTCCTGACACAGGGATAGAACCTGGGTCTCCCGTATTGCAGGCAGATTCTTATACTCTTCCTGGTTGGAAAAAAAAAAAATCAGTTGATGCAGTTCAGACAAACTTACATATTATGAAACAATCAAGGGAATTGGTACAGAAAATAAATAAGGATATGAAATGAAACAAAGGCAACAGACTCAGTTACTGTTCATAAGATTAATGACAGAAGACTTTATCTAAATTGTTCACATATGCCAAGAAAGTCAGATAAAGGCAATCCACCAGCTACCAGGGCAAGGCAAGCAGTGCTTTCCTGGGAGTCAGTGCTTCTCCTCCGAAGAAGCAGGGAAGTCTTATTTGGATAGTTCACGTTGAAAATATAGGACAATGAAGATACACACAACACTGCATAATAAAGTTCTAAATGCAAATATGAGAAAAACTGGCCACACATTCCAAATGGCTTTTTAAAAGATCACCTCTAGTCCCAGCCCCCAAACATGTATGTAGTCTCTCAAATCATGTATTTGATATAAACAGTCTAAAAATAATTTTAAAAGCCCCCCTCCCCCGCCCCGACAGTTCAGTTGGTAAAGAATCTGTCTGCAATATAGTAGACCCTGGTTCGATTCCTGGGTTGGGAAGATCTGCTGGAGAAGGGATAGGCTACCCACTCCAGTATTCTTGGGCTTCCCTTGTGGCTCAGCTGGTGAAGAATCCGCCTGCAATGCAGGAGACCCAGGTTTGATCCCTGGGTTGGGAAGATCCCCTGGAGAAGGGAAGGGCTACCCACTCCAGTATTCTGGCCTGGAGAAGTCCATGGGGTCAAAAAGAGGTGGACATAACTAAGCGACTTTCACTTTCTACCTAACAGTCATATAAACCCCTCCTTGGGGTTTGGCCACACCCTCCTGGTATGGACCTGAGATGAAGGCAGGGGAACGGGCTGATGCTGTGGCCAAGGAGCCTCGCTTTACCAGGTGAATGCATTCTGGCTCCTTTCTTCATTTCTTTGCAGCAGTTTTAACACCACTCTAACTGACAAACAGCATCAACGAAATTTAGCACTCAAAGTCTTTAGAGGAAAAAAGATTCTAAACTATAATCAGTGAAGCAAACAAGACTGTACAATATAATTTATCATCATTTAATCCCAAAGGTCACACTACAGGGCTTTATCTTGCATTGCAGCACCATTTATCTCCTAATGGATTTTCTTTTCCTTCTTCCCTCTAGAGGGAATGGATACTTAGGAGCCGAATCCCTCAGTCCCAGGGTTCCTGAGCAGGCCAGACCACCTGGACCCAGCTTCCCGCTGCCAAGGCCTCACAGAGATCCCAAGCGACTCACTCTCCACTTTCACCCTGGACGATGGGACAGGACACATGTGAAGTGTCTAGCTGGAGTGACAGAGTGTAAGTAAAATAAAAGACACAAGCCCAAGGCAGGGAAGGTGGATTCCCCAAATCACCGCTATTAGCCAGCAAAGCCACCAAAATGACTCATTTAAGTACTTTATTACTAAGATAAAGTCATAAAGCACCCTGCTCCAGCCTGTAGTAACTATCCCCAAAGCTGTAGTATGACAGCATTTATACAGGATTCTGCCTGTCAATGCACGAGACACAAGAGAAGTGGGTTCAACCCCTGCATCAGAAAGAACCCCTGGAGGAGGCCCCTGCAACCCACTACAGTGTTCTTGCCTGGAGACTCCATATGGACAGAGAAGCCTGGTGGGCTACAGTCCATGGGGTCACAGAGTCGGACACAACCGAGCATACACGCACTGCCAACAGAAGGTGCTGCATACCAACCTGTGTGTTGTTTCATCATAAAGAAGGCAAATGATAAGTCAGAGGACTCTGGGGCTCAGCCAGAAGGAAAACAACTTACTTCTAAATGAAGAGAAATAACACAGACTAAAATAGGCTTTCAAAGTAAAGGCCCCAAACCACTGCCCAACTCAATGTGGGCACACACGTACACACACAGTGACAGCCGCTGGGGTCAGATCAAAAGGATTTAAATTAAAGGTGGGCAGACTTGTTTGAACGGGCACTTCCTGACAGGTTGCTAAGCACCCAAGGGAGGCTGCTGAATCCACCTCTTTACTAGACAAAGCTTCCAGCTGGGTGTCACCGCTGCCACCTAGGAGCAAGTGCATATAGATGAAGCAGCACAGCTGCCAACACAGAGAACCAAGCTGTCTCTAAGCTCAAGTTAATATGTAAACACTGCAAAACGTTCACTGTAACGCACATCAGCTCACTGACCACCTCCCGCCGGGTGGGGGCTTCCCCAGCGGCTCAGCAGCAAAGAAAGTGAAAGTGAAGTCACTCAGTCATGTCCAACTCGTTGCGACCATGGACTGCAGCCACCAGGCTCCTCCGTCCATGGGATTCTCCAGGCAAGAGTACTGGAGTGGGTTGCCATTTCCTCCTCCTGGGGATCTTCCCGACCCAGGGATCAAACCCGGGTCTCCCGCATTGAAGGCAGACGCTTTAACATCTGAGCCACCAGGGAAGCCCCTGCAATTCAGGAGACGTAGGTTGGATCCCTGGGTCGGGAAGATCCCCTGGAGGAGGAAATGGCAACCCACTCCAGTATTCTAACCTGGGAAACCCCACAGACAAAGGACCCGGGGAGGCTACAGTCCATGGGGTCGCAGAGAGTCTGACACGACTGAGCGGCTAAGCCACCACTACCAACCACCTCCAGTGAGTGGCGTGGCCCGGACTGTGCATCCAGGGCTCACAATTCAGGAGAGCTGAATTCATTCAGGAAGTGCCACCAGCTCTGAGATCACTGTTATGGAGACACTGTCCGCTTCTTTCTACCTTCATTCTACAGACCTCCACAGAGATGCTTCCAGAAGCTAGGCTTACCCTGGGAGCTGGCAGCAACCAGAGTCTGGCCTTCGAGGACACAGTCTACCATAGGAGAGGGTGCAGTCAGTGACCCAGACGGGGCAATCCCCAGTGACGAGCACCCTTCGCAGCCACAAGAACAATGGAGCAACCACACAGAGCCCAGCAGATCCTAATCATGTGCTTCTCACCGGTGTCTTTACTGTAGTGTCAGATGGCTTTCCAATGCTCCCATTTCCAGTTCCTCCAAAACAAAGCTTCTCTAGTTGGTTCTCAACCTCGCCATCAATTACAACAGAACCTACCAGTCTCATTTCTAGCATTCTTCGGCCTTCACCATCCACCCTTGGGCCTGGAGGTGCTTCAATCTGACACATCACCCGCAACTGCACTTTGAAACTGGAGGGAATCGGCCACCCACACGGTCCAATGCCCTTCCACCCCTGGCCTGGGGCCTTTTCACACTCGTGCCCAGGATGGCCTGAGGCTGCCACCCCTTCAGCAGAGGATGCTGCACTAGGGGGCCCTTCCCCTGCTGATCCCACCTCTGCTGTACCTGCTACCCTTTGCAATGTTACCGCAGCTGCGTAACATATAAGGCCATCATATATAAGGCCATCAACATATAAGCCATCATATAAGCCATCATCATATAAGCCATCAACAATTTCCAAATACTTCAAAATCTATCTCAGGACTGGCTACGTGCTGTCAAAGCTTTAGGAACCAGCCAGGCCAAATTTCAGTAACCAGTAACACTCCCGAGCATCCGCACTGGGCAAAGAGCTTCAATAGTCAGTGCCTGGCCTGACACCAAGGCAAGGGGCACTTTTTCAATCGGGGGCGGGGAGAGGGGCACTTTTTCAATCGTGGATTTTTAAATGAACCTAGCGGTTTGCTAAGTTAATTCTTAACATTTCCGAACTGTCCGAGTTCCAGCACTTTCTGAAAGGGAGGCTGATCTTTCTGGTAAAGGTTTTCCTAAGTGTCTTCCAGGCCACATGCCCAGTATTCACTGGGAACAGTCTCCATCTACCCGGGCGAGGGAGAGATGGAGACCCGCCGGGGTCAGAAGTCGAGAGAGAAAGCCTCAGCATCCTTTGCACACGGTCGACGCAGACGGGGATGTGTGCGGGGAGGGGGTCTGGGAGGAGGAGGAGAACTACTCACACTCGGGATCCAGTCCACAGCCCGGAGGCGGAGACGCGAGGAAAACGAACGGCCGCAGAGAAATAACAGCAACTTCCCGGCCGCGCCGCGATCACGTGCCGGGCCCCCTCCCCCAGGCCCTTGGGGCGGGATGGAGACGAGGCCTCCGGCGGCGCTTCCCCCGCCGGGACCCGCGCGGCAGAGCGTCTCCGGGACCGCAGCTCCGCCTCCGCGCCGCAGGGCCGGGCGAGGGGGCCCGGAGTCACCCTCCGCTCGCGCGCCGGGGGCGCCGAATTTCTCCGCGTCTCCCCGCCCGCCCGCAGGGGGCGCAGGCAGGGGGCTCGGCCTGCAGCCGAGCTGGAGACGCCCCTCCCCACCACCCCCTCACTGCGGGGAGGACCCGGCCCCGCGACCCCGCTTACCTGCGGCGACTCCGCTCCCGGCCCGTGCCGGCACCCGGAGGGCAGGCGGCGGGCGGACGGCTTCGGCGAGGACCCGCCGGGCTGGGCGCGCTCGCGGGCAGCCGAGGGGGCGGGGCCGACCTGGGGCGCGCGCGGGGCCCGGGAGCCCGCCGCCGCCGCCGCCGCTGCCTCGGGAGCCGCCTGGGCCGCAGCCGAGCCGGGCGGCCCTCATGAATGGGACGCGGCGGCTCGGCGGCGGAGCGGCGGCGGCGGGCGGGCGGGCGGGCGGGCGGGCGGGGGGGCGGGGGGGCAGGCGACTCGCAGGCCCCGCCCCGCCACGTGACGACGACGCCCTACCGCCCCCTCCCGGCCACGCGCCGCCCTCCAGACCGCGGCCCCGCGCGCCCCCGAGCCTCCCTCCCATCTCCCGCGCGCTCGGCCGGCCCCGGCCTCTGGCTGTCGTGGGGCCATCCGAATGTTACCTTTCTGTAATAGTGACTCCTGGTCCCCATGGCAACCCTTCGGCGCGTCACGAGCATCTTAGAGCCCAATTCCCCAAAAAGAATAAATATGAAAGGGGCTTCCCAGGTGGCTCAGTGGTAAAGAACCCGCCTGCCAGTGCAGGAGGCGCAGTAGACACGGGTTTGATCCCTGGATCTGCAAGGTCCCCTGGAGAAGGAAGTGGCACCCCACTCCAGTATTCTTGCCTGGAGACTCCCATGAATAGTCCAGGGGGTTGTAAAAGAGTCCCACGCGACTGAGCACGGTAAAGGGCAGAAAAGAAGGCATAATCCACTTTCAATCACCAGTAGCACATCTGTTTGATTACTTCCCCGCGCCTCCCATCCTATTACACATCCCCTTTTAAAAATATACTTTTAAACAAATGGATTGCTCGGGCTGGATATTATTGTTGTACACTGGCTTTTGTCTCTTCGCTGCCTATGCCCTTACTGAAAGTTATGAATGGAAGTACATGTGTTCCTTCCAAATTCCATTAACTTCTCAGTATGCATTCTGTGGATGACAACTTATACAGCTTTGAGGATATTGAAAAGTAGGGCGTTTATATAAAGCTCCTCCCAAGCCCAGCCGCAGCTGAGTCTCTTCCCACCGACCGAGTGTGGGCTGACGGGGCTGGGACCAGGGAACCAGCTCCCTGTCTCAGGGCCGCTGGGTGGCCTCTGCAGAAGGAACCCAGACAACGACTTCCTCCTCCAAGTTCCTTCTGCCTTTCTCAAGCATTCAGCCAAGCTTCGCCCCATCCTTAACCAGGGCCCCACAGAAATGTAGGTGGTTTCCTTGGCCCAAGGACTCTAGAGTTTCCCTTTTGGGTGCCAGGCTTGACAAGCGGATAAAAATTTTCAAAGACAAAGGCTGGACTTTACCTTCTGTATTTCAGAGTATTTTACTCTGCTCTGGAGAAATGAAATTAAATCAAGAAAAATGGTTGGACCCTCGCTTTCTATGTTAATAGAATGGGAACAGGAATGCCTTTCACCGTTACACTTAAAGCGGGCCTTCCTGGTGGCTCAGTAGTAAAGAACCCGCCTGCCAACGCAGGAGAGGCAGCTTTGATTCCCGACTTGGGAAGGTCTCCTGGAGAAGGAAATGGCAACCCACAAAAGTATTTTTTTCCTGGGAAATCCCATGACCTAGAGGTGCCTGGCAGGCTACAGTCCATGAGGTCCCAACGAGTCAGGACTTGGCAACTGAGCATAGAGGCACATAGTAAAGTGCCTAATTGAGCTTAGTGTGGGGCCTGGAGTATTCTGTTACTTGTTTTCTTTTCTCCCCTGCCCCTGCCCCCTTAGATTTTTCCTGTTTCTTTGAGGCCATTCTCACTGCCTTGGGAAAGAGCTTGGGAAGAAACTTCTGTCAGGCCTCCTTCCTTCCTTTCATCATTCAGGAAGCCCTACACATCCTCCCTCCCTCCAAACTACCTGAAATTGGATCCCTTATCTGAATGACAGGTTCACGCCTTTAGCATTTCCTCATTCTCTGATATTTACCTACATTACGCCACTACCTAAGCAAAACAGAGACTCATGAAATATCTGTTGTGTGATATGCCTTCACTTCCTGCCCATGACTTCTCTGGTGGCTCAGCTGGTGAAGAATCTGCCCACAATGCAGGAGATCCGGGTTCAGGAAGATCTCTTGGAGAAGGGAATGGCAACCCACTCCAGTATTCTTGCCTGGAGAATCCCATGGAGCCTAGTGAGCTACAGTCCACGGGATCACAAAGACTCGGACACGATTGAGTTACTAACACTTACTTTCCTGCCCCTAATATCTAAAAAGAGTGCTGGGAGCCTCCATTCCCTCGAGTCCACTGGAATGCAGGAGGTAAGAAGCACTTCCTTCAAGTGTTCTAGCCCCACTCCCTCCCACTTTGTGGGAGGAGCCTCACCCGCCAGGTGTCCCCTGCCCCAACTCTGGACCACCCCTCCGTGTGAGTGGGCTCAGGGAGCTGGAAGCAGTGGGGTGGGGGAAAAGAAGGAGCAGGAGCCGGCTTTCTTGCCCCCCAGGCCATCAACTTATCTCCCAGCTTGGCTCCCCAGCCAAGCTGGAAAGAAGAGACTCTGCCTTTTCATCTCTTCACAGCCTTGCTCTCGCTTCTCCTCCACCCAGATGCTACTCATGCCGGAGTTACCAACAAACGCTTGGTTGCCAAATTCTGTGCACCCTTTCAGACCCTTCCTCACAGCCTCGAGAGTAAGATACTACTGAGCACGATTTCCTCCTGGAAACTCCCGCATCCTCGCTCTAGCCAGAATCCCGAGGGTCCCATGCCTGTGTTCAGAGAGTTTAGACAGCTCCACCAGCCTGGCCCACCTTGATGTCAAATGCAGTTCCATTGCGTTTGCTTCTTCAAACCTGCTCCTCCTGAATCTCCTATCATGGAAGACAGGAGATCTCCTATCATGGCTAGATGCACCATTATCCACACAATCATCCTTGCCAGAAACCTAGGAGGAGGTCTGTGTCCTTCCTCTCCCCTCCATGTCCACCATGTCTTGTCGTTTCTACTCTCCAAATCTCTCTGCGGAGTGACTGTGTTGACGGCCTTCAGTCACCTCCCCAGCTACACAACAGGAGGCCTCACCTGCTAGCCATCAGGCCCTCTCCCACAGCATCCCTGAGGATTCCCCTGGGCGACATATTCCAGCTGGTCTCCCTGCCCTCTGTTCTTCAACTTCTAAGCACCCTTCACCTTGAATCACAGATGAGACCCGGGCACCAGTTATTGGCAGTCCACTGCCTAGAGGAAGAAGCCCAGGTTCTCCTGCACAGCATCCAGGGCGCTCTTCTCCTTTCCTGCTCCTTCTAGCTGGTATGCTTTAGCCATCTCTTCTGCAGCACGCTAGCTTTTAAAACATGAATGTTCATTTTTATCCATGCACTGCCCCCTTTCTCCCCTCTCCCACCATGATAATGCACCCAGACATGCTACTGGTCTCAAGGAAGTTCTGGAAAGCAGAAGTTGCCTGCAGACCTTGCCTTCCTGTCCCTGATTTCCACAATCTAAACTCATTGAGGAAGCAATCTAAGTCAGGAGTGAGAGGGCCGGTGAGAAGGGGGTCTTGTTGAGGGATTCTGGAAGAGGGAAAGATGGTCCTTAGGATGAAGATCCAGTCTCCGCAGCCCGGAGTTGGAAGGCCGGGGGTCCTATGCCCTTCCTCTGGCAGCTTCTGGGGGAGGGGATTAAGTCACAGAGAAATAATCTTGTTGTTCCCAGTTTATGCATCTCTTCTGTGAGAACACAGACTAGTTAGCATTTTCTGAGCCATCACTGCTCAGCTTTCTAGTAATTCTAATTACAAACCTCTGAGGCAGCTGCTATTGCTAATGCCAATTTATTGAAGAAGGAATGGAAGGCAAAGAGAGGCTCGGGCCCCACAGCTAGTAAGCTGAGACCCCGACCTTCATCCCCAGGCCTGCTTAACTCCCCAACCATGGTTTTAATCACCTTCCCACCTTCCCAACTTCTGTCCGATGCCTCTACTGTCCTATCCCAGTGTGCATCCTTTTTCTTGTGTCACTAGTCCACCTTGCACAGATCAAAACTACAGCACTTACTCCACACACAGTAGGTGTTCAACAAATATTTGATGAAAAATAAAAGAGGATTTCCATTTCTAATTATATGCTTGGCTGACTAACTCTTCCACTGAAAACAACAACAACAAAATTACTGGGTAAAATATTAAAAGATATATTCTAGAAGGGATCCAAAAACTGGCAAGAAGTTAAGAAACAGTCCTAGGAGAGAGTATAAAGGCCAGAACTCAGAGAGGTAAGCAGAGGCCAAAAGTCAGCTTTTGCCTGGAAGGTATTTATTTGCAGAATTGAATGAATCTGATATTGGTTTTTGCAGCTTTGGGAGTCTTGGGGGCAGAAGTAAAACCAGAGGGTCTGCTTTAAATGGAGAATTTAATGGGAGACCTAATAAAGGTGGGATCCCAAGTGCAAAATCATAGAATAAGGAAAAAAAATAGTTTTGAACCCATCCAGAAACCTCACTAAAATTGGTCATAGATTGAGCCATAAAGTCTCAACAAATCTTGAAAATTTCCTATCGTACAGAGTATATTCTCTGACTACAATGCAATTAAGTCAAGAATCAGTTAAAAAAAAAAAAAACCTAGAAAAATTTAAAATCCATTTGGTTGGGCCAAAGAACAAATCCATATGAAAATGTAAATGTTTAAATACTGTGTAACAAATATTTGATACTACATGTGAAAACTTGAGAAAGCTAAACAAGTAGTTAAAGTGAAATTTATAGACCTATAGACCTAAAAGTTTATAGTAGAAAATAGCTTTAAATGTAAAGAGCAAAAAAGTTAGAAAAGGGACACAAAATACAGTTCAATAGAAGAGTAGAAAGGAAGATAAAATAAGAAAATAATAAAGCTGAAAACATACAATAGAAAGGACCGGATTTATGAGAGACTAACACATTTTATGGGCTTCCCCGGTGGCTCAGTGGCAAAGAATCTGACTGCCAAGCAGGTGAAGTGGGTTTGATCCCTGGGTTTTGGAGGAGGAAGTGGCAACCCACTCCAGTATTCTTGCCTGGAGAATTCCATGGACAGAGAAACCTGGCAGGCTACAATCTACAGGGTCTCAGAATCAGACACGACTTAGCAACTAAACCATCACACAACACATTTTACAAACCTCTGGTTAAAACT